CACCCTCCCACATTGACACAGTGTTAGGGGAGGGCAGTTAGAAGATTTAGATAAGATCCGGAGCCTCATCACATAATACACAAGATGTCCAGGCCAGAATAAAAATCACACATGTACTAAGAACCAGAAAAGTCTCAAATGAGAAAAGACATTTAACAGATACCGATACAACACAGATGTTAGAATTATGTGACAAGGATTTTAAAGCAGCCATCGTAAACTGTCTCAATAAGCAATTATGAACTTGCTTGAAACAAATGAAAAATCTCACCTAGGAAATGGAAAATATAAAGAAGAGCCCAATGGAAATCTTAAAGCTGAAAAATAAAATAATTGAAATAAAAAGCTCAGTGGATATTTCAACAGCAGAATGGAGAGGACAGAGAAAAACAAATCAGTGAACTTGAAGATAGAACATTAGAAATGAGCTAATCTAAACAGCAGAGAGAAAATAGACTGAAAAAATAAACCAAATCTCAGAGGTCTGTGGGACTATAACAAAACATTTGTGTCATAGGAGCCCCAAATGGGGAGGAGAAAGAGGGTGGAGTTGAAAAATATTCAAAGAAATTACTCAAATCTGGCATAAAACCAACAGTTAAAAAAAGGCATAAACCAACAGATTCAAGAAACTGAATGAACTCCAAACAAGATAAACCCAAACAAATCCATGCCAATACTCATCAAAATAAAACTTTAGAAAACTCAAAACAAAGGAAAAATCTTGAAAGCAGCAAGAAGGAAGGAGAATTTACCTATCAGAGGAAAAACCAATTTGAATAACAATGGATTTCTCATCAGAAATCCCAGAGGTCAGAAAGAAATGGCACACTTTTCAAGTACTGGAAGAAAAGAACGAGGAACTCCAAATTCTGTATCTGCCCTCCAGAAATAAATTCTATATCTTAATCTTCAGGAATGTAGAGGAAAATGACATTTTCACATAAATGAAAACAGAGACTTTGTCAACAGCAGCACCTAGACTAAAATAATGGCTTAAAGGAAGTCCTTGAATAAGAAAGGATTAAAGAAGGAAACAAAGGACATTAAGAAGGAAGAAAGAATAACTATGGGTAAATACAAAAACGTTCCTTCTCCTCTTTCTAAATTCTGCTTAAGAGTTGAAGCAAAAAGGACAATATTCTCTGATGTGGATCTCAATGTTAAGTAGAGAAAGTATTTAAGGCAATTATATGATAAATGAAGGAAAGTAAAGAGAAGAGGTGGCAAGCTTTCTACATTTGATTTGGACACCAGTAGATCTTTGGGGTGATGGAAGAATTCTGTATCTTGATTGCAGCAGTGGTTACAGGAATCCGCACATATGATAAGATGACATTGAACTATTCAGAACATTGTACCAATATCAATTTCTTGGTTCCGACTTTGTACTATTTTATAAAAGATGTAACCACTGGGAGAAAGTGGGTGTAGGGTACCCAGGAATTTTCCATTATTGTAACTTCCTGTAAGTCTATAATTATTTCAAAATAAACAATAAAAAATAAACGTGAAAAAAATCTTTAATAGGTCATATTCAGAAACTTCTAAATGTGAGAAAACATAAAAAACACACAATAAAGTGTTGGTGTAAAATCATAGATCAGATTTCCTCAGTAATTGGTTGTGGTTTTCTTTGATAGTCACTAATGAGCTATTCAATTTGGGGAATGCAATTCTGCTTTGATGTTAATTTTATTATCAATTTCTTCTTTTTTATGTCTTCAAAAATAACACTGAGTAAAAGCTCTTGAATCATCTTGGGTGGGTCATGACTATAACCGACAATTTTTTTAGCTTTTCCTAAAGAAAAAAATTAGTTATTATCTTCAGCTATCAGGGGATAGTAGCAGATACCTGCTAGCATTTTTTTCTCCTTTAGAGAAGTGAAAAAGAACTAGCGTAAGTGTCTCAGAATCTATTAGTGGCACAACAAGTGGCATCAAACTGTGATAGTCAAATACATTCAGGCTTTATTACTCATCTCCGTCTGATTTTCTTATCTACAGTGAAAATCCTTCCACCCCTTCCAATCTGCAGTAAACATTTTCAGAGTTTCTACAAAGTCCAGATGATTCCTCTGGGAACGGACCCCATCTTCCCCATGCAGCCGTGTTTGAACTATGCGATCTTCTCCACTGGTCATGATTGATGGGATTCCCTTTCCTATGCTAACTTGGAACTGGGACACATAGACTCAAATTGGGCAACTTTAAGGTTCAATATTGCCAGTTACTTTTATAGCTGTTACTATATAACATATAGCTGTTACTTTTTCTCAATTATAAAATACTTCAAACATGCAAAAATATGCAATTACTCCCAGCCCTGAATGAACAAATGTTAATACTCTGCCATATTTATTTCCAATTTCTCTTTAAAGAAAATGTGAAAATTTTGATATAGATGCAAAATTAAAGAGACTCGTACAAGATATTCCAATAACCAAGATAAAACAATTCCCAGGGGCAAGCCGTGTGGCCAAGTGGTTTGGATCTTGAGTGTGGACCTACACATGGCTCATCAAGCCATGCTGTGGTGGTGTCCCACATAGAAGAACTAGAATCACTTGTAACTATGATATACAGCTATGTGCTGGGGCTTTGGGGAGAAAAAAAAAGAGGAAGATGGATGTTAGCTTAGGGCCAATCTTCCTCATACACACACAAAAAGATCTATTTTTTAAGAAAAGACTATTTCCCAAATTTTGTCACGTTCACTTAACCTACTTATTTATTCATTTTTTAATTGTGGTAAAAATACACAACATAAAATTTACCATCTTGAGCATTTTTAAGTGCATAATTCAGTAGTGTTAACTATATTCATACTATTATGCAATGGATCTCTAGAACTTTTTCATCTTGCAAAACTGAAACTCTATGCCCTTTGAACAACTTCTCATTTCCCCCTTCCCCCAGTCCCTGGCAGCCACAATTCAACTTTCTGTTTCTATGAATTTGGCTATTATAGATATCTTATATAAGTGGAACCATGCAGTATTTATCTTTTTATGACTGGCTTATTTCACTTAACATATTGTCCTCAAGGTTCATCCACGTTGTAGCATGTGACAGACTTTCTTCTTTTTTAACAGAGAATAATATTCCAGTGTATGTATTTACCACATTTTCTTTATAAATTTAGTAGTTGATGGACATTTGAGTTACTTCCACTGCTTGACTATTGAGAATACTGCTTCAATGAACATGGGTGTGCAAATATCTCTGAGAGTCTACTTTCAAACATTTTGAGTATATGCAGAAGTGGGATTTGCTGGATCATATGTAATCATATTTTAAATTTTTTGAGGACCCTCTATACTGTTTTCCATAGTGGTTGTACTGTTTCACATTCCCATCTATAATGTCCAAGGCTTCCAATATTTTCGTGTTCTCACCAATGCTTGTTATTTTCCGTTTTTGTGATAGTGACCATCTTATGGGTGTAAGGTTGATACTTCATTGTAATTTTGATTTTCATTTCTCTAAGGATTAGTAATGCTGAGCATTTTTCAAATGCTTTTGGGCTCTTAGCATATCTTTTCTGGAGAAACGTCCATTCAATTATTTTGCCCATTTTTTAATTGGGTTGCTTTTTTGTCGTCGTTGAGTTGTAGGAATCCTTTATGTATTCTGGATACAACCCCTTATCAGATATATGATTTGCAAATATTTTCTCCCATCTGAAGGTTTTCTTGCACTCTGTTGACTATTTCCTTGGATATGCAGAAGTTTTTAAATTTGATATAGTCTTATTTATCTATTTTGCTCCTGTGCTTTTGGTGTCATACCAAGAAATCATTGTCAAATCCAATATCATGAACCTTTTTCCTCTGTTTTCTTCTAGTAGTTTTATGGTTTCAGATCTTACATTTAGGTCTTTAATCCATTTTGAGTTAATTTTTGGTATATGGTGTAAGGTAGGAGTCTAAGTTCATTCCTTTGCAGGTGGTGTTTTCCCAACACCATTTGTTGAAGAGACTCTTCTTTCCCCCAAAGTGTGATTGAAGATCACTTGATCATATGCACAAGGGTTTCTTTCTGGGCTCTCTATTCCATTCCGCTGATCTATATAGCTGTTTTTATACCACTACCACACTGTTTTGATTACTGTAACTTTGTATAACTTAACTTATTTTTTTAAACACCTTTTCCCTTTTTCCTTCTTAATGCATTTTACAGCAAATATCAAAAGGCATGATTTTATCCCCACATGATTCAGTATGAATCTCTAAAAATTATGGACACTTTCTTACAAAACCACGATATCATTATCACTTATAATAAAATTGGCAATGTTTCTTTGGTATCATCTCATACCTAGTAGAAAAATGAAATGTATGAATTGTCTCAAAAACCTGTTTATTGCTCTGTTTGAATCGGGATCTAAAAACGTCTGCACTTTAATTTGGTTATGTCTCTTAAGTCCCTTTTGATTCAAAGAAGTTCCTGCCTTCTCCCCCCGCCGTTGATTTGTAGAAATTAGATTAGTTGTCCTATAGAATATCTCAGTCTGGATTTCTCTGTTTATTTCCTTGTTCTGTCATTTAACTTGTAAATATAAGTTAAATGGTGACTTAATTGTATGGTCATTTAAGTATAAATTGAAATTAACTCAGAACTTTGATTTTTTTTTCATGCTTGCATGAGGTTTTTTAAATTCATTTGCAAATTGGAGCCTCTGGGGACTTTTCCCAGTGTCACTGGGCATTCTCAGATGTCTTCCCATGCTTTCCCCCTCCCCATGTTTCCTTCTGCCTTAGAAGTGGATATTTGTTGGCAAAGTTTTTGAACCCTGGGTTTGTGGGGTACATGGGTTGTCCCCATTTCTTATTATTCCTGCCACCAGCTTCAATCATGTTCTTGTTCCACTGCTGCAGGTGACATCATTTGTGTTCATGATCTGAAGTATGTAGAAATGTCTTGCTTTCCAGTTTTATTTAGACGTTGTAAATGGATTTCTCACTTGCCATCCTAATTGGTTTGTTTATTTTTCAGGAGGAATTTTTGGGAAATTAAAAACCTACCTTGCTCCAAGATCACATCACTGGAAGTTCCTCAACTTTCTTTCTGTTAAAGAAAGAAAACATCACAGAAACATCCCACCTCCCAACCTGCTCCCTTTCACTTTCTCCCCCATGTTCCCCTAAGGTAATCCCTATCCAGAAGTTGGTATCTCCTGTTTCCAGGCGTGCTTTTGTATTTTTACTACATGTATATGCATCCATTAAATCTGTATCCTATTGTTTTGAGAGTGGAGAATATTTACATATATGTTTTCCTGTTACATGTGTGATTTTCTACTTGGTTTTCTTTACTCAAAATTGTATTTCTTGAGAATTATCCATATTGAAACATGAAGCTGTACATCATTAATTTTAACGGCTGTAAAGTATTCCATGGTTTGAAGAAAACATAATTTGTCAGTCCCCTGCCAAAGGAAAATTATTTCATTTTGTCATGACAAGCATCACTGCAAAAAAAAAAAAATCACTTGTGTACATGTTTGCTTGTGCACACATTTATGAGGTTCTCTAAGATAAATACGTAGGAGTCGAAGTACTAGATCAAAGGGCTTGTGCATCTTGTTACGCCCGCACGAATGAGAGTTTCCCCCGTGTGTAGTTACAGGAATGTTTGTGATGTTTTAATTTTTTACAACCCTATAGGTGTGAAATGATATTTCATTGTTTATTTTACATTTTCCTGGTTGAAATGTGAAGTTGAGAATCTTTCCAAGTCTTATTGATGATTTGGTTTTCTTCTGTGTCTGGCTTGTTTATAAAATTGACAATTTCTCCTGGGTTCTATGTCAATTTCTTAATGATTTGCAAAGGTTTTAAAAATATGTTCTGAATAATAATGCTCTGTTTTTGGTGCCTATTGAATACAATAAGTTCTCATAAACTCTCTGTGAATCCCCTCTTCTCATTCTTTCTCCTTCTGCCTCTGCCCCTTCCTCTACCTCTCCCTTTCTCTATCTCAATAACCCTTTCTCTCCCTACAGCTCAGACTTTGTCCATGGAAACATCTTGGGAAACAAGCAGCATACTGACCTTTTCACTTTCCCGAATCTTGGTCTCTAACTACCCCTCATCCCCATGACCAACACTCAAATTTCTTGATGGAACATCTTTTCTTTCAAAGTATTGACACTCATTGCAAATATATTTTAAGAGCAGAAGTGTTCTGCTTTTGTGGGCTACCGGTTTGTCAGATACAATCACATTCCGTATATGAGTTTCAGTTCAACTGATGTTTTCCTTTTCCCAGCACGTCTGTTACCTCTTTCTGGACCTTCCCTATTCCATGTCTTTGTCAGGATTTTGCAAGTCTGGTGAGGGCAGTGAACAAAATTTATGGGTGCAATGGGTGCTGATATGGATGATAGGAAAAAGAAATTCTAATTATTTTATCAACATAGACTATGCACTGAGATAAGAATTTGAAGTTACTGCAAAATGAAACCGTTGAGATGAAGATGTTAATATATTGAGATTAGTAGATGTCATAATGAGTTTAGAAAAAAAGAAAAGTTTCTAGGACATACCAGATCATATTGCCGCACTGCCTCCGTACACAAAATTGGTGTTAATGCATAAATTTCTCTGGAAGATTCTATAAGTTTGTGAGTTGGAAGCAATGCTGTTTTAAATATTGACACCTAGTTATTGCAACTTCTTAAATTAAAATGTATAAGCTAGAGGTTTTCTTTTGCTTTTCTATCTTCCTCTTTTTTCTAAGTATAGACGAGAAATAAAGGCAGATGTAAATGCTTAGAGTTATTTATTTGGATTCCAATTTAAACTTTCCATTACTTTTTATTTTGTTTTTAAACATAGGCATCTGTTCGGTTTCATGAGCAAAGCCCCCAATTTTGTTCTCTTCTTACTGAAGTTCTTGAAATAGAAGTAATGTTTTAATGTTTGATAATAATAGACCAAAGAGGATGACAACATCCAAGTATAAGTATGTATTTCACAATCTAGAATAATTTTTTTTACAGGAAAATGCATTAGACAAAGAATAGTGTGTGTAGGGGTGTGGTAATTACAATAATAAACGTGGAAGAAATAACTGGCCAGGGATAACATAGCCAGTCCAAGTTTGTATCCAATATACTTTTTTTTTATCTAAAGCAGAATTATAATCTAAAAATAATATTTACATTCTGAATGATGAGTCAGACAGACAGAAACGTAGTAGCATGTAGTGTTTAAGATTGTTCAAAAATATGAGTGATTTTATTTGAAAAATGACTGACTTTCTTCAGAGTTCCAGGGCTCTCGGTTATTTTAATAAAGCAAATTATCTTGGAGGAAGGTTCATAAACTCTACCTTCATTAGCTTACCCTTGTACGGCAGGGGCGTTTGCTTGGGAAATCATTAGACTCTTTTTGGGCTCAGAAATAGGTGCCCTTAAACTAGTGTTTCGTGCAGTGCACAATGCAAAAGGCTGATAATTTTACTTGAAAAAAAATCATTATACTTTCCATTCTGTTCAGTCTATATCACACTCAGAAGAAATTAATTATCTTGGTGGTTTGGTGCTTCAGTTGTCCAAAGTCTTTGTTTGTGTTAATGATAAATGTAATACTATATTAACTTTAGGTTGTACTTCTTGCTACAAATTCTCACTGTTTGGTTTACTAAATAAGTGAAAACATTTTCACAAGTGGCCAATATAAGAAGGGACAGGTAAGCTTCTTGCTTCATAACCTTTTCCAAAAGCTTTATTTCCATGTAAATTTAATCTATTCTTACTTGCTATTAATTTAGCAGCTACAAGTTTCATCTCATTTATTTAACTAGCTAGTTGATAAATCTTTGTATTAAGTCTTGGTATATGTTAGGCAATGATTTACTTGTGACTCAAGTTCTGAATTCTTTTTTCCTAAAATTAGCAAAATTTAGAGCTTCTGTTTTTATCCTCAAATATTCCAATAATTTCTCTCTTAAACAAACAAACAAACCTGGATTAAAGAGATGATTGAAATTCATAACAAATATCATTTTTGTCTCTCACATTACCATACTACTTAGAACCAGGACAGGTGTTAGTTTTTATATTTGTGGTGCTTCACACATATCACTTATCCTTGTGAATATCCTTTAGACTCTCAATGAAAAAGCATCACGCCTCCCCCAAGGTCCTTGAAGAAATATGATCTGTGACGGTGCAGGCGACTCTAGGACACAAAACAGAGCATAGGCAAGAGGCTGCAGATTGGGGAGAGCCCAGGTTCCGGAAGGTCCTGGGATCTAGAAGATGCTGAGAAGAAAATAAGGTGATCTCTATTCTCTCCTAGCCCAGCCAAGACCTCTCAAGAGGTCAGCAAAAAGAAAAGAAATTGAAATCAGTAAAATTTATCTAGTTCCTCTTATGTGCTGGTGTTAGCATGCATATTTCCCGGTTTCAGTGCTCACCAGCCGTGTAACCTGGGACAAGGACATAACCTCCCTGGGCTGCAGTTTTCTTATCTATATAAAATAAAGACAATAATAACATGTTTTTCAGTGGCCGGTCCTGTGGCGGAGTGATTAAGTTCACACGCTCCACTTTGGCGTCCCAGGGTTTCGCCGGTTCGGATCCTGGGCGCAGACATAGCACCATTCATCAGGCCATGTTGAGGTGGCATCCCACATGCCACAACTAGAAGGACCCACAACGAAAATATACAACTATGTACTGGGGGGATTTGGGGAGAAAAAGAAATTAAAAAAAAAAAATATTGCCAACAGTTGTTAGCTCAGGTGCCAATCTTTAAAAAAAAAGAACACATTTTTCAGAGTTTGCTGTGATAATTCAATGCATTTGCTCTTATTAAGTGCTTAGAACAGTGCCTGCCACAAAGTAAGTATTCCTTAAATATTTGCTATTATTATAGTATTATTTTTGTTGCTGTTATTAATGTAAGGACTGGCACACCAACATGACATGTCATGGCAGAATTTTAGCAAAGATTCTGTTGACTTAGCTTTCCTGATCATTTTGGACATCCAGTCTTGACCACAATTACGTGCAAGATCCTAATAGCTCAGGTATGTCCCTGTCACTACAGCAGATGGGTTTTAATTTTCTCCCTGTGGGGTGGATCCTCCTATTAAACCTAATCATGACTCATTAGGAGGCAGGGGTTTTTAAACAGTGCCTTTCAGATGCCCAGGAGTTTCAAAGGGGAACCTGATCGGTGGTAAGCTTGAGGTGCTAAAACGAGAATGCTTTCCTCCCAAGCCGAGGCAGGCTTGCTAATGACCTGTGACCACTTTAGCCCACTATGAGCGTCTTGACCTAGTATGAAAGTCTCAGGGTCTGCTTTCGCACTTTGCAGCTGACTCAATGCTGGGCGTCTGCACCCCAGCACCATGGGAGCCTCAGCAGCCAGGTCATCCCAGGCAACCCATTGCTTACTGGTCACTGCTCATGGTTTCGTTATTCCAGTTTCAGTTTCTTCTTCCTCTTACCTCTTCCTTTTCTTCTTTCTCCTGTGTCCTCCTTCGTCTTTCTCCTTTACCATTGGAGATTTTTCTTACTTTCATCTCAGCCAGGGATACCTTTGGAAGGCATGTTTGCATTACTTTTGCCACCATCTAGTTGTTCTGCTTTGAGAGGGCTGCTCAGTGTTTCTGGTCTATCACACGGTAGAAAGCAGAAGTCAAGATTCCATTTTCTTAAAGGCCTAATCTGAGTTGGATCTGTGTTTCTTGTGTTTGGAACAGTGTGCTAAAACTGACCACAAGGAGGCCTAGTTTTTTCCAGGTTATAGACTTTTCCATCTCCTCCCATAGCAGCACAAACTCAAGTTAAGGAGTAAACTCTGCAGGCACAGGATCCTGTCTATACCATGCCCTCCAAAAAACTGGTTTTAATTCTCTCTCTTCTTTCCCATCAGTATACTTACCACTGCTTTCCTCTCCAAATCTCAATTCAGTGGATTCAACTTTAGTCTTTCTGCATGACACTTAATACAGACATTTTACATACTTTATCTGAAGCAAGCTAGAGCATGACTGAGTAAATGCATGTGCATGTATGCAGCAACCCATACATACAAAAATAATCTTAAACTTTTGATTCTTACTCAGTGTAATAAGAGAGGTCAAAAACAGGTAACAAAAGAGTCTATCAGAAAACAGACAACTTATGTCCTCAGGGAAGGAAGGACTGGTCAGAAACAAAATTTTATAGCTTAAACATCCACATTTCATGCTAAGAGCTGCATGTGAGGTCAAAATACAACATTATGATGGGTAGATTCGAACCCTTGGAATCAGAGGAGGCTGCAGGCAGGGGTTTTGTTGTTGAGTGTCCCAGCTGACTGCTTCCAGAATACTCCAGCTTACATACTGGGAAAAGGAAGCAAGTGTTATCAGATGACTGCTCAGGAATGTGACCTAAAGGGGACATTAATGCCACACAGAGACTGGTCCCATGGCTGTCTTTGGCGGGTTGTTTTAAACAACGGTCTGCAATAGCTGATGTCTGTGATCCGTACCTAGGTCACCTTCAACAGCTTCTCTTCTTGTAAACAAGGAAAGCAGTGCTGGGAAATAGGCCAGTGGGAGAAAACAAGTGGGAATCACAGTCACTTCTGGTCCTATTAGCCAATATGACACTACTTGATGGCCCTGGAGTTGAGTTTTAGTAATCCTTCGATATGTTTAGCTGCTTTGTTTACAAATTGAACCTCAAAGCAATGAATGCTGGTGAGCAGTGTGGCCAAAAGAGTTCAGGATTTGAAGGGATCAAATCTCAGCCCCATGACTTAATAGCTTTGTAGCCTTGGTCTTATAACCTGTCTATGTGCTATTACTCCAATTTGTAAACTGGTGATTATAATAACAACTTCAACAGATTAAGGTAAAGATGAAATAAGATAACAGAAGGTATTAGGCAAATACTAGGTGCACAGAATTTATTGGTTCCTTTTTCATCATATCGTAGGCTAACTGCACCCAATCCTTCTACCCACAGAGACTGGGCTGGGTGTTAGAAGATGTTCATATATTCACGCTGGGATCAATTCACTCCATCCACACTAACTATCCCTGCTGTTGCTGAAACACAGCAGACATTCTCCTGCCTGAGGGCAATGGATCTGTCTGTTCTCTCTCCCTGAATGTTCTCCCAATTGTGCACATGGACCGACTCTTACTTCCTTCAACTCCATGCTCCAATGTCTCCTTCTCATTGTGGCTTCTCCTGAAAAGCCCTTTTAAAATTGCACCTGTACGTGTCCTTCCTTGCTGCCCCCCTTAGTGTGCTATTAATGCCTCTTACTATGCTCGTTTCCTTTTTTAGCACAATTATCACTTCCTAGCACACTATACAATTTGCTTTTTATTACATCTATTGTTTATTCTCTGCCTTCCTGCACTGGAAGGTATTCTACAGAAAGGCTAAAGTCTTTATTTAATTCACTGATGTATCCCAAGCACCTGTTCCTGGTATGTAGCTAAGGCAAAATAAACATTTTTGAATGAATGCGCACAGACATTTCAGACTAAATCAGACTAAAGAACTTACTCTGGAATGGACTGTGCCCTGAATTACCATGCTTTCTTTACCTTCAAACCTCCAGAACCTGGAGGGTAGGAAGCATGAAATGTATAATAGAATGGATGAAAAAATTGTTTCAAGTAGAGTGCAGCTTCCCAAGAGAGCTGGGAATTTCCAGGCACAGGCAAAATCCATGATCATTATTCTCTTCCTTCTGAACCTGACAACCAAGCATGCTGGTTTAGGAGTTTTTCTATATTTGACTGATATGCATCCAGAAGGTCATGAAAATGTGGAGAATATTAACTATGGTCCAAGAATGTTGATGTAACCATGATGAATATTTATACTCACTGGACTATTTAAAATTTGAATGTCGATATTTAAATTAACGCTAAAATAATATTCATCATTTTTTGTAATACAAGAACAATTTAGAGAAATTCAGTTGCACCTCATCAGAGAATAGTCTTACATTGCTACCCATGTCATTTTGAGCTTGGCTGAGCAGGACATTGGCATGTGTTCTTATGGAGTGAGCCTATCTACCTCACCCAAGTGAAGAGACACAAGTGTTTGAGCCCCTTCTGAGAATCCACTCTTTGTTCTTAGAATTTTCTTCTCTACATAGTATTAAGAGGGCATCCTCTAGTACAATCTTAAGAAAGTCCAACATCCTCTTAACACTTGAGATGACATCATGCTCAGAGAATTTCCATAGAGTCAAATCCAAATGAAGAATGACTTTATAGTTATTTGGAGGAATATAAATCATGAGACATGAGACAAAGAGGAGCGTATGTTACAAATACAAGGAAAAAAGTTTACAGAAATCACAGTAAATTTCCTTTGAGAGAGCTGGAATTCAGATATGTTCCATCATCACCTGATCTTCCTCTCCCTCTATTTCTAGCAGTTCAAATGATGGTCTTTCCCCTGACATCTCTTTATAATGGAAACTTCATGATATATTAATCTGATTTTACACAACTGCTCTTCTCAACATCTGTGCTCAAAGTGTCAGAGATGAGTGAACAACCAAGCATTGTGCAAAGGCTTTATGTGAAACTCGTATCTGGTCTTGCCTTGCAACAGTGCATTTATCGATTAAGTGCGCCTTTGTCTGGTCTCTCAGCATTGACACAGTTAAGGATTTCACAGGCTGCACTGAAGAAATATGCCCTAGGGAAGTGCCGAGCCTGTTTATATTCTACCTCATCACTAACACCATCATTCACTTGTTTGAACACAGAGGGTAATGAAAAATGCAGTAGTTTTCTGAAACAATGTGAGGACAGAGGATTAAATCAAGCATTCCGGCAAATAACTTATGCCCTCAAAAATATGTTTTAATGTGTACAACAGTCTTAAGTGCTCAAAACTCAAATGTCTCACTTTAGAATTTGAGCTCCCAGGTGGCAGACAAGACCGCCAACCTATTCATGATTCATTTTAACCTCTTTATATGAGACGGCAACTGGGAACATAGACAAGGAATAAGCAAGCTGACCCAGAATCTGTCAAGGAAGACTATTCAGCTGAAAATACTACAGAAGAGCATCCAGAGGTCAAGAAGGAGAAATCCAAATGTAAGACCATAAACCCAGTGGTATGCTGTTAAAGCATGATGAGCAAAGATGGGTGGCCCAAGCAGAGGTTCTATATCAACTGGAAAAGATGAAAAGCTGTTTGCTCCCAAGGCTCTGATGACATAAGTATCACAGAATGAGAAATGTGTCAAATGGTTAGTGCTAAAAGTAACTCTGAGGACAACTAATCCAACCCCAGTAATTTTTCAAAGGATGTAAATGGGTTCAGAGAAGTCAAATAATGTGTTCTTAATCCACAATTAGTTGATGTTGGAGAATATAGGAGAAAAAAAGAATATATGATCTTTACCATTATGCTGTATCTGTCTTATTAGGTTCATCTAACATATTAGGGCCTCAGGTCACATGATACCAAATAATTGAATTGGCCAGGTGTTTCATTTGGTGCCCTGTATTTATGGATAAATTGTATTCCATTTTGTCATTGCCTTTGTTTGAGATTATATTAGTTATAATTCCCATTTTACTTC